AACGATTACTCATGGTTTCGATATGTTAGGATTAGACAATTACACGTTTATCACAATGATTATGGGCGAAATCCACTAAACGATTTGGTGTGGTATGGGTGTGATAATCATGGGATATCACTATTATAACATCACTTGCGCACTCAATTTGATCATGGTTTCGATCGGTTAGGGTTAGACAATCATACATTTATCACAACGATTACTCATGGTTTCGATAGATTATGGTTACACTCGATTGATCATGGTTTCCATAAGTGTTGATCCTCTCTCTCATTGATTTGATAATAATCCATTTTTCCTTACTCGAAGTTTTTATGTTTCTATTTTCAGTTTCAGCGATCATCACTGAATCTGTTCAGTGATCGCTGAAGAACTTGTAATGTAAATCCAATCAGCAATAGCGATACTTCAAGAAGACAAAACTCACACCAAAGAACCTTCAACAAAAGTCGAAGACTGAAACTGAAGATTAGAGACTGGCGAGTACGTGATCTGAAGCGGTATTCAGTGATTACAGCCTTGTCTACATATGTGTGAAGACTGCCCAAGCATCAGTGAATGCTGAAGAGACCTTCAGGTTATTCCAACATTCAGCGATCAAAAGAAGCTTGTTAAGCACGATTGTTTTTGTCTTGTCCTTACACACACAAAGGACAAATCCATACCCTTTCTAAATATTAGTACGGTACGAATCCGACTAGTTGACTCTATTACCCACCAACTTTGTGAAAGGATGGCTGCTCATGAATAAGCTTTTCGTACTATTCACTGTAGCAAATGACAAGCCTTCCTCTTAAGGCTTGACACGTGTTCTAATCCTACCACATTGCATTAAATGTGCATTTAATGCAATGAGTATAATATATGTGTTCTATCTCCATCCAGAGATACACACCCCAATCTCTCAACTTTAACTTACTTACACTTAAGTAAAATAACTCACATCTAAGAACAAATACACTCATCTTCAAGAGCAAGTTAGAATCTCTTTATTGTATTCGAAATAGTTCTTTCCCAAATAGAACTTACTTTCCTCTAAGTCTTTTACAACAAATCTTTTCTTTATTTGCTAAGAATTAGTGTGTAACTTTATATTGTTTAGATAGGTTTTATTTATCTTATATTTCAGCAAACAATCTTGTAAAATCTGTATTGATCATTCTTTATCAATATATATTTTAAATTTGAAAAGTTTTTATATTTGTATTCATCCCCCCCTTCTACAAACTGTTATACACATCTTGTAGAACCTAACGGGACCAACAATAAGTTATGGTTACACAATCACACAATTATCACAAAGGAAGAGAAGAGAGTGGAAATAAACGTGATCAATAAAAAAAAGGATAATTATAATTAATTAAAATAAAATAAAATAAAAATTACTTAATTACATTATGCCCTTATTAGGACCAAATTAGTTGGGACTCTCAAAATCAAATCAAATATATTTCGAGATTTTATCAAAGATTCTAAAAGGCACATCATGTCAACGTCATGATGCAAAACTCATTTCTGACGCCCTCTTAACCACTTTAGCGACTATGTAAGGGCGATATACTAGACCCGTTCCTGATATTTTATAGGCCCTGAATGAGATATAAAAGAGGGCCTTCGATAAGTACGAAAGAAATTCAATAATATTATTTTTATCATTAGAAATAATATTGAATTCAAAAAATATTAGTAATTCATATATAATCATTTTTCGAGTATTTTTAGATGTCAAAATCAATCAACAATTATTTTTAAATTAATATTATCTATTATATCATTTTTGCATAACATTGTAAATTCATTCCACTACAAAACACATTCTATGATATACCTTTAGTATATAGATTGACAGCATTTGGGATCACAATGTTGACTATTCAAAGTAACACTTTATATAAATCAATATAAATCAGTTGGGTTTCCATGTCACATTATGTTAATGTTTTCATCACCATTTTAAACTTTTAGGGTTAAAACAATTTTTTTAGGAAACTAACAATCTTAGAATCAAAAGTCTATCTTAGTTATAGTTTGAGATCTTATTGTTGTTTTAGAGATAAGAGAGTATTTAAGATTAATGCATTCAATATTAGATAATAAGGAGTCAATAATGTATGAAAAGTCAATAGTAGTTTTGAAATTCTATATATAGATATAAATTAGATTGTTTCATATGGTTGATAATTTTTTGAAGATAGAAGTTTTCTTAGTTAATAACAAGAAATACTATATTCTAATACAAAAATAGAATTCATGTAAATGAAATAATCAAAAGAACCAATGAAAGATGAATCATAGGGAATATATCAATGTTTTGTAGAGGAGATAATTTTAGATTTTAATAGCAGATAAAATACTTAGAAAAACAATAAATAATACTATAAAATGAATAACCAATAATTTTTTTTTACATATTTTCTTCTCCAATATAATTAATTAATACATATTTGAACCCTTAATATAATCCTAAATTCTTTTTAGATCACATATTAAATATTAAAAATGTTCTCTTTTATTATTACTTTTTTTGAATTACTATCATATAATATATAAGAAAAAAATTGGGCCTTTATTTCTTGTGGCCCCTGGGTGTACGCCTTGGCCTGCCCTCCCCGGGGACGGCCCGCGAGACACACGACAAGGCATTTTGAGGTGCATTATGACATGCTTTTCTTAAAATGTTATTTGATTTTTTTTAAAGTTAGCATTGTTTTTACCTTTTACTTTGTTACGAGCTCTTGGTATAACACACGTGAATTTATATTTGTCATTTGAAACTAAAGGGCCGTTTACTTAAACACAGGGTCGTTTTTTAGGGAGGGCGGGCCAGGCTTACKYCCAGGGCCCATAAAAAATAGGGGCCCAATTTTTTTTTTTAATATAATAGTAATTCAAAAAAATTAGTAAATAGAAGAAATAAAAAAAAATTAGTATCAAATATGACAAAGAAAGATTTGGTACTACATTAAATATTAAAGATCAAAACATGTATAAATTAAATATATTGGAGGAAAAAAATACATAAAAAGGTTAATCTGTCGTTCATTATATAATATTATTTAATATTTTTCTAAGTTTTTTTTTTTAAAACCGACATATAAAACTACTTGCTTCAAAAACTTTGATATATTTTTTATAATGTATCTCCCATTGACTCTTTTGAGTGTTCCATCCTTGCGTGAATTCTATTTTAATATTAGAATATGTTACAATTTCTTGTTATTAGCTAACAAAACCCCCATCTTTTGAAAAAATTACTAACCATATGACACGGTACAACTTATATCTATATTTAAAATAATAACACTATAATTGTTTTTTCATAKTTGTTCTTTATTATCTAATATTTAGTGTATAAATCTTATGTACTCTTCTATCTCTAAAAGAAGAATATGATCTCAAATTATCACCAGCATGAGTTTTTTAATTTATATAATCGATAATTTCAAAAAAGTTTGTTTTAACCCTAACCTTATGTTCTTGAGTCTTCTTTTACGTAGAAAAAAAAGGAAAGTAACGGATTAAAAAAAATTATAGCAAATTTTATTATTTGTTTGATTATTTTCCTTTCTCTCTCTTCTCTATTAAAAACACAAATAAATTTTTTTCGTCCTTTCTTTTAATTTTCTTTTCCTTTCTCATTCTTTTCTTCATTCCCAAATTCGAAAACATAATATAAAAGTTTAAAATGATGTTAAAAAACATTAATATGAGATGACCTGAAAAACCAACCTATTTATATTTATTTACATAGTGTCACTCGAAAATCAGAAAAATCAACTTTGTGACCCAAAATGATATCATTCTATGTACCAAAAGTATATCAATGGATGTGTTTGATGATGGAACAAATTACTGATTCTACATAAAAATATTCTAGTAGATAATATTAATTTAAAAATGAGTATTGAGTGATTTTGCATCCAGAAATACTCGAAAAAAAAGGGTATTATATGAATTCAATGTTATTTTTGATGATAAAAACAATATATTGAAAAAATATCGTACTTATCAAGGCCCCTTTCTCACATCTCGCCCAGAGCCTAAAAAATGTCAGGAACGGGTCTGCTTAAACACTTACCCAGTAAGTACTTACCGGTAAAATTCAACACTATCGCTTATTTATCGGGTAAGATTTTATTCACTAAAACGCATCGTATGCAACAATTTATCCCGGTAAGCGCTAACTATGGTAATAGTCACCGTCCTCACTTACCCGGTAAGACTTTTGATTCTTGCCTTCGCTCTTACCGGGTAAGATTATTAGTTTTTACCATATTCATCCGGTAAAGTAAAGTGACTTGGGAAGCGTTTACCCGGGTAAGCGTTTGGTAAACGACACCTAAGTCTAAAAAACACTAACAAAACTAGGTTTATAGGACAGTAATAATTTTTAAATGTCTTAATATATCACTTATTTCAACGATAATAAGTCTATAGGACGCTTTTAGACGTTGTAATAAGTCTATATGACGCTTTTAGACGTTGTAATAAGTTTATAAGACGTTTTTAGACATTGTAATAAGTTTATAGGATGCTTTTAGACGTTGTAATAAGTTTATAGGATGTTTTTAGACGTTTTAACAAAGTTTTTAGGACACTTTTAATATAAAATGTCACATTAACAATTTTATATATAACACTTTTAAAAAARTATCTTATAAACTCATCTTTTTATAAAACACTTGTTTTTATAGGGCACTTTTCTAAATAGTGTCTTATAAAATTGCTAATGTAACGCTTTATATTAAAAGTGTCATAAAAAACTTGTTAAGACGTCCAAAAGTGTCCTATAAACTTATTACAACGTTTTTAGATAAGACACTTCATTTTTTGTCCTATAATTAAGTCTTGTAAACCGGTTTATTAATGCACTTGAAAATTTTTAACGTCCTATAAACGTGATTCTATTGTAGTGAAACAACATACCTCACCACAACTCTCAAAATTTAACCTGTCACATGTCACACCTCACACCATTAAAAACCTTAATTCTACCGACCCAAAAAATACTTTTATTCATATTTCAACGATCGTCAAATACACCTTATACGACTTTACGATAAATTATATATCTTACATCAAATATTCTGGCATTTGAGCTTCAAACTTGAGACTAGATCTACCAGTTAAAACATCCAAAAACCAATACAAGAAAATTTAAAATTACGAAACTTATTTTTAAAGGAAGTAGAAAACAGCGCATTTTGTTAGTCATGAGTCCCGAACGCACGATCATCAGATAACGATCCTCATAAAGCTAGGGAAAGACGGCATCAACATGGTTGGGGTGGTCCGGTCCAGGAGGTGGAAGGTTGGGGATGTACGGTATAAGAGGAGTGCCATGCTGAACAGGCCCATGATTTATCGAGGCTTTCGAACTTGGAACGGGATCATCCTGGTGATAGTCGAGTAGGTTTACATCGCTAGCATCGTCCACTTTGTATACGTCATTCACAGTCCCCTGTAATTGGATTTAACGACATGAATGAGAACTGTGAGAAGTTTTTTACTCTAAGATATTGGTTCACATGATTTTTTTTTCTTCCAAGATTTGGATATGTTTAAAAAACATATATTTGTTTCACAATGTGAAGCCTTTTTACATGTATTTTTTTTTTTTGTTTCACAAACATGTAAAAAAGTTTCATATTGTGACAAAATTAAATCAAGCAATACGTTAGATAAAAAAAAATCATATAATATAACACATCATACATTGTATTTTTTTTAGTTCTTACATGCATAAATAATTAAATATTATTTGCATACCTTAAGTTTCCTGCCTGCTCCTCCCTGGTCTGGTACAAGAAATTGTTAGTCAATTTGGTCATAAGAAATACTCCCACATTTTACATGATAAATGTAAATTAAATAGTTTTAAAAWGACAGTTTTACCCTTAATTAATACTAGATTTAAGTAAATTAAAAGACAGTTTTACTCATAATACTTAACAGACATTTAATTTTAAAATCTAAAACTAAAATAAAAGAAGATGTAAGAATTAGTATTTACCTTATAATTTGGGAAGTTTGAGAAAATGCAATGTTTTAGTTTCAGAATTGCCTTCTAATTAGAGAAATCTTTATATCATCAACAACCAAGAGTATTTTAGGTGACATTGTGAGATTTGACTATTACATTGTGGTGTTGTTTTAGACATCACATTTTGAGGAAGAAATGCTAGATTTGAGAATGAAGATGGATATAAAAAAAAAGGTGACTTTGACTAATTTTATTTGAAGAAAAAAAAAATCTTCAAACCCTTTGTACAACAGTAGTAATATGGTTGTGTGACATGTTATTTGAGTTTTAAATAGCATAACAACAAAACTATCGTCTATACTTCTCAAATTTTTTGTAACTAACACACGGTTATCAATATATGAAAAGAAACCACTTATGAAAATCCATTCTTCGTTTTTAATTATATTATTAACTGAAGAATTATGTTTTATGTTAACTCGGTCAAGTACTTCCTTAAAATAGATATCGTTATGATAGATCCACAATAGTCTCTAAATGGAGAGAGATAAGTTATTATTTTAATCCTTTCCTTGTGTTCCCAATTCTCTAAACAATTTTTGAAATATAAAATTGTTGGAACATAAGTAAAAAACTGTTCCAACATATTATTTATATTCCCACCCACCCACACATAAACATTTACAATTTTCTAAAAGTTGTTGAAACATATTATTTTACATAAAAATTGTTTAAAATTGTCATTTTATGCGAGGTTTATTATAAATTATCAATTATAAAAAAGTTTTTTGGAATTTACCATTTTGACAATATCAAATTTGTTTAAAASTTAATTTGATTGTGTGAAAGTTTGTTTAAAAAGTTGTTAAATAACATGGTTAATAATAAAGTTGTTAAAACAGAATAGTTGTTGGAATTTGATAAAAAACTATTAGAAGATTATCCAAATCTACAAGTTCTTGTTTATAATAATACTTTTAAGTGAAATGATTGCTTTTAAAGCATGCAAATTCAGAAATAAAGCATCTCTAACTGATATATTAGAATTTTTTTCCAAAAAAAATTCTGAAACCAAAATCTCTATTAAGAATTACTATCAAACTACAACAAATACTTTATTTTAACAATTCTAACATTAATTGTATTTACCAAAATATTCTATAAATTCATCATCGATATTCTTATATATTAAAACAAAAACCTTATAAAAAATTGTAACATATTTAATCTCATGGATAGGAACAATTACAATTATATATATATATATATATATATATCCGTTTTAAAGATTTCTATCTTTATCTCATCTTTTCTATTTTGATGTACTTTTTATTATAGTCGTTGGAGAAAAAACAACTTTAAAATCTCTACTTTGAGATAACTATTGCGGATGTTACGAAAGCATCTCAATATCTATGTTATTTTAGAAATTTCCGAGTTTTTTACTTCAACAACTGTGTTAAATTCCTTTTCAAAAAAAAGAAAAAGAAAAAAAAGCAGAGAGTAGGGATAAATATTTCTACATATAAAAGAAGAAATAGAAAATGTATCATACATATTATCCTGAGGATTATAAGCAACAAAAATTGATTACCAGGTGGAGGAGGAAATGAGAGGAAGCATAGGCAGATTAAAGCTGTTACAAGCACCAACAATCCAAAACCCTTCATCATCAAATCAGAAAGCTGATGATGGCATCCAAAACTTCTTCTTAAATAAGCAATCACAACACCAAATTCATCCGCTCGTTTTCCACCCGTATGGAGTTGATTATTATATATAATATAATATAGAACCCATCACTTCCAAACAAACCCTAAATTGTGTGGTGGAGACAGCCTTTAATGGCGGTTGTGGGTAGTAATTATGGGGGATGGCTTTGTTTGCAGACACACTTATGGCGGCAATGAAATTCGAATTTAATGGTAATGACACTATGCCAGAGACAGGGGGCTTGTGTATGCGTGTTGCATTGCATGTCTGCACATGGGTTAGAGTTGGACGGTTTTTGCTATTTTAACCATCTATGTTTTAAGAAAAATTTCAACCCAATTTTAAAAAAATATTATTGAGATGGATTGGCAGGTTAAATGTGTTGAATTTCAAGAAATGCACTAAACAACAAGTGAATGCAAAATTGACTTGATTCTTATTAGCAAGTTATGACTCCTTAAATAGTCGTACAAAAGAGAAAAATGACAGGTGCTGAAAAGAAAATAAAGAACTCCTAAAAAAGACCGGGTAAACCCTACAAATCAGGGATTTATTCAACAACCTCTTTTACTAGGTACACATTAAGATGTAGACCAGGTAAACACCTAAAACACTACTACAAACCCTCCCATAAACTAACTGTGGAACGCAAGTTAGCTTAGACATCCTGTTTGCGAACTCCTAACTGTCTTCGAAACTTCATGAACAACTCGACCTGCAAAGGCTTTGTCATTAAATCTGCCAGTTGATCCTTGGATTTGCAAAACTCCAGCTTTATTGTTCCATTTTGAACCAATTCTCTGAGGAAATGAAACCTTACATCTATATGTCTGCTTCTTCCATGCATCACCGGATTCTTTGACAATTTTATGGTTGAACTATTGTCACAATACAGAACCGTCTCTTCTTGATGATCACATCCTAATTTTTCTGTGACTTGTCTTAACCAAATTGCTTGACTTGCGCATTCAGCCTCTATTGTGGAAAGTGTAACAATCGGTTGTTTTTTGGACAACCAAGAAATTGCACCTTCACCCATCATAAACACATACCTGACGTGCTTCTCCTATCATCTGTGTCTCGAGCATAATCACTGTCAGTGAAACCACTTAGTATTGTCCTCCTTTTCTTGTACATGATTCCATAGTCCAAAGTTCCTTTTAGGTACCTTAGAATTCTTTTAGCAGCTTGTAGATGTATMTSTGTYGRTTTACTCATATATCGACTAATGAGACAAACACTATACATTATGTCAGGTCTGGTTGCCGTAAGATACATAAGACTTCCTACAATCTGCTTATAATTTGATTCACAARCAGCAACTCYYTGTTCATCCTTAKTGAGATTTGTTCCAGGAACGATTGGTGTTCCAACCACTTGACATTCYATCATGCCRAAACGTTTAAGCACCTCAGTTGCATATCGTTTCTGGCTGATAAAGTTTCCTTGTGGGCCTTGTGAAACTTCAATGCCAAGGAAGTACTTCATTGGTCCCAAATTGGTCATATCAAAAGTCCTCATCATAGAGGCTTTAAATTCGTTCACCATCTCATCATTGTCCCCTGTATATATAAGATCATCAACGTAAATACTGACAATGAGTAGATTGCCTGCCTTGTTTGTCTTGGTAAACAAGGTTTGTTCTTTTGGACATCTTTGAAAGCCTTCTGTTGTGAAATATCCTTCTATGCGACTAAACCAAGCACGAGGTGTCTGTTTTAGTCCATAAAGAGCTTTATGCAACCTGTACACTTTATTTTCTGCTCCCTTTACCTCAAACCCCTTTGGCTGGTCTACGTACACTTCTTCATTGAGGTCTCCATGTAGAAATGCTGACTTTACATTGAGTTGGTATATCTTCCGGTTACGTTGAGCTCCCAATGCTACGATAGTCTTTACCGTCTCGATTCTGGCAACAGGCGCATAGACTTCAAGATATTCTATTTTGTACTTTTGAGAGTAGCCCTTGGCTACTAATCGTGCTTTGTATTTCTCCAAATCTTCGTGCTTAATAAACTTAGTCTTGTATACCCACTTTACACCTACGGATGTGGCACCGTTTGGCAAGTCAACTAAACTCCAAGTGTTATTCTTTTCGATTGACATCATTTCCTTTTCCATCGCCACTCTCCAATGCTTCTCTTTTACTGCATCTTCGAAATACACAGGATCAGAGGTTGCCATCATAGCCATATTCACAGCTGGTTCATCATCTTCATCTTCAATGTTTTCCAGTCTATCACCTAAAGAGTAGTCTTTCATCCATCTTGGAGGTTGTGTGCGTCTCTTAGTTCTAGTTTAGGACTCGGCTTCCCTCCAGAATTTATGTCACCTTCAGGTCCTCCTTCATTTGTTTCCCTACTTTCACTTTCTGATTGAGTGTGAGTGATACTTGTAGTCTCGTTGATTCCTCCATCTTCCCATTCCATGTCCATCAATATTGAGGCTGTATGAGTCTCCGTCCAGTTGTATTCTTGATTTTCTTCAAAAACAACATCCCTACTAATCAATATCTTGTTGGTATGGGGGTCAATCAACTTGTATCCCTTCGACGCTTCACTTTATCCCTAGAATACACATTTTATGCTCCGATCATCAAGTTTAATTATGCGTTCTTTGGGCACATAAGCATGTGCAATGGAGCCAAACACCCGTAAGTGAGCTACTGCTGGTTTGTTCCCGACCAAGCCTCCTCAGGTGTAACATTTGTGAGGGCTGCATTTGGACATCTATTCAAGATGTAATTGCTCCAGTTGGTTGTTTTGGCCCAAAACGTCTTCGGCATCTTCATATCTGATAACATAGCACGTACCATGTTTAATACAATTATGTTTTTATGCTCCGCAACTCCGTTTTGTTGCGGTGTGTAAGGGACTGTAAGCTGTCTTTTGATTCCATTTTCTTTGCAAGCTTCTTTGAATGCAGTGGAATTGAACTCTGCCTCTCTGTCTGTACGTAGGCACTTAATGACAAGACCTGATTAATTCTCAATCATCTTCTTGAAACATAGGAACTGGAAGTGCTTCTGATTTTTCAGCTAAGAAATACATCCATGACTTCCTGCTAAAATCGTCAATAAAACATAATATGTACCTTTTACTACCGTTCGAGGTAGGACTAATGGGGCCACATATATCTGCGTGAACTAATTCCAGTGCTTTAGCTGCTCTCCATGTGCTTTTGTTTTGGAGTGACTCACGATGATGTTTTCCAATAAGACAATCAACATATACCTCATCAACTATCTCAAGTGATGGTAAGCCTCGTACCATTTGCCTCGTCTCCAAAGTCTTTAAACCATTAAAGTTTAAATGAYCGTACCGCCTATGCCATAACTTTGTGACCTCCTGATCCTTTGTGAAAAAGCATTGCTCCTTCTCCTCTTTTAAATCTCCACGGGTTTCTGCGATTAAAATGAACATTCTCTGTGCACTCATTGTTGTTTCAACGATTAGTACTTTTGTCGGATGATATATTTTACAGACTCCATCTTTAATCAAGATAGCAAGACCTTTTTCTTGTAGTTGGCCAACGCTAATTAAATTGTTTCTCAAGTATGGAACAAAATAAACATCAGTGATGACATGACTTACATTATTCAATCAGATTCTAACGTTACCTCTTCCAACAACATTCATTTGATAGTTGTTTTGAACTGATAATCTAGGTCACAGAATTTTGATCGATCACCACACATATGATTCGAACACCCAGAATCGAGAAACCACGCATCGTTCTTTTTATTCTCTTGGACTTCTGCATATGTCATCAGTAGCATTTCTTCATCCTCAACGTAGTTTGCTTCTTTTCTCCATTCTGGACACTCATATGAAAAATGTCCAAGTTTTTGACATTTGTAACATTCTGATGTTGCTTTGTTGTAGATAAACCTGCCCTTGCCTCTTCCTTTTCCTCTAAAGAAAAATTGGCCTCGACCACGCATCCCTTGCCTATCTTGGAATGTGGCCTTCAACTCATGTTCTTCATCTCTTCCTTGGCTGTGTATCCTGATGGCAATTGAGCAAACAAGGCCACAAACAACAATCAGGACTAAAAGCAAGTATACAAATAGTCCCAATATCGTCTTTCAAGTAATAAAAGTGGTACAAGTACCGGATATCGTCCACAGGGATCGTAGTAAAAGTTTAGAAGAAAGTAAAGTTAAGGAAATGATTTCAGAAGGTGAATTCGAAGACTTTGATTAGAAACAGAGTTAACACAACTAAAAACAGGAGATAACAAATAATAAAAGCAAGCTAGGGTGTATGACTTTTCGGGTGAGATGTAAATATTATTTCCAGTCGACCAATGGTGTCAAAATGCTACAACATGAAACAATGCTAACAAATTGCTACAGCATGCAATTAGTAACACCTATTTTTACCAATTTCTTTGAAGGTATTCCTCTCGAACTTCACCAATGCATAGATATTATAGCTTTCAACCCATATCTCTATGAGGTATCCAGACCAGTGAAAGTGACAAATGGTGTCTTCAAAGTATATGGATAAGCAAATCTCTTTGTTAAAAATCACTCTCTCGAGTGGATTCCCATATCATTCAAGTTGACGTGTTCTGAATGACTCATCTCTGAGTCCATTCCACTTTAACACTTCAGAGTGATCAACCCGTTAACAACTTAGAAAATACGGACAACAAATCTTTTTGTTAGCAACTCTCTCAAGTAAACTTCTCATATCATCCAAGTTGACGTGCAATCAATGGCTCAGCTTAGAGTCCACGACAYTTTAACACTTTCAAAGTGATCAACTCGTCAAGAAGTGTCATTGGTTTTATAAAACTTGAAATGAAAAAGTAAAACATCGTTGTTACATGAAAGGGTCGACTATATTTAATTTACAAACTCACCATTTTCATCATACACCCGAGCTAATAAAATTAGCTACTCATGACGAAAAGTAAATGACAAGGAATATAAATTGCGATAAGTAAAGACATAAAATAAATGCGGAATGTAAATACGGAATATAAATGACGGAATATAAAACATGCGGAAAGCGTAATAAATAAATGACGGAATATAAAATGCGAGTAAGCGTAAATAAATTAAAGACGGAATATTAAGAACGAGAAAATAAATAAAGCGATTAAAAGAACTCGAATGTCGAAATGCCAAAAGATTACTTAATATTAAGAAGCTTGTTCTTCAAGTAGGATATCAACCTACTTGAAAAGAGAAAATGTAGAGTAAAAGGTGTTGAGGTGTGTCTTCAACATCCCCCAACATCTCTATTTATACTAGAGATTAGATAGGGGTATTTTAGACAATTCACACACTTTTAGTTCTAAAGCAACTAGAAAGTACAATAAAGTAAAACTAAGAGTTCTAATGTAACTAAAAGTACAATAAAGTAAACTAATATTTAAAAAGCAACTAAATTAGTCTTATAAAGCTCCAGCTAATCTGATCAAAAAACAGCTGTTCCAACTTTAGAAGCCTTTCAAAGGTCTTCCCATAGTCTTGTCAGTCAACTCCAAGTCTCATCCATCTCTTCTTTTACCATCAGGTCATGCTGTCACATTCCCACAGCATCAACCAGCTTCAATCTGACCAAAATAAGCTCAATTTAGACCAAAATCCACCAAAACAGGTTCAACATTCACTTTAGCATAAAAACAGAGAAAAGAGATAAAATGACTCAAAGTTGGGATATAAATGGAAAATAACCTATCAAAAAGACAATAAAAAGGTACTTTACGCACTAAATACGTAGTGCGTATCATATCCCTTGCCTCTCTTCTAATGAGATATTCAACGCCTGTTCTTCATCTCCTTCGTTGTCTCTCTTAAATTTTTGTTCGTGCACCAGCAAGGAGCTTTGCAATGCATCTACCGACAATTCATCTATGTTCTTAGATTCCTCGATCAAACAGACAACATAATTCCATTTCTCTGTTAACGTCCACAAGATCTTCTCTACAATCTTGACATCTTCCATATGTTCTCCACAATTTCGCATCTCATTGGCTATCACCATAACCCTGCCGAAGTAATCTGTAACAGATTCACCATTCTTCATCATCAAAACTTCAAATGATCTTCTTAGTCTGTTCAACTGAGCTTTCTTCACCTTCTCGTTCCCTTGGTATTTCACCTTCATGGAATCCCACAACTGTTTTGTTGTACTCTTTTGGTGATCGTTTTCATATAGATTTATTGTGATAACCAGATCCTGGTTATTACCCAAGGTGTTTAATACGTGATTATCTGATTTAATAATTACGTGATAGCATGATAATTGATACATGCCGGTATGAGAATTTATGAATTAATTGAATATATATATATATATGATTATTATGGATGTATGTATGTGTATGCATGTGGGTATGCATGGGTGCATGTGGGTATGCATAGGTGTGTATGAAGTTTTAATATGCATACACGTGGCTTGGTAAAGTAGCCGACCTTCCTTGTTTGGAAGGTATAAAAGTGGGCTTCATCCCCCTCATTTACCTTTTCCTGCCATTTTGAGAAAGTTTGAGAGTTTTTAAAAGAAGTGTTGTCCAGTTAGCAAAAATGAGGTGATTTCAAGTTGGTTTCAAGAGTCCAGTTTCAAAAGGGATCGATTTCTAGCATTTTGGT